CTGGCCAAAATTTAGAGTAACCAGAACAGTGGAAGCCTAATAAGAAGTCCAGGGAGGGCAATAAAAAGAAGTAACCAGAGGCATACACACGTACGTGGCCGTGGTTGAAACCCTAGGCAGAACGGGAGGGGCCCAGGGCTCATTGGTTGGAGTTTCAACCGACAGGTTGCGGATTCGAGCCCAGTGATCGATAAAACAAGCTTTATCCATCTTTAACTTCCGAACACAAACACAGTTCAGCAGATAAATTAAAAAAAAGAGCCTAGCGACAATACTTGTATGGTCTTTTCCCAAACAGTGGACACGCAATCTATTTTATCAAACAAAGTAGGCCTTAAATGAACAACCCAAATACAACAAGAGTATGTTTGCAGGACGCGAACGCCAGAGAAGACGGAACCCCATCAATCTTAGGGAACCACTTATCGTTGTTTACTACAAACTAGAGACGCACTGCCATCTACAGAAACTTCGGCAGCCGTCTATCAAATGTGGTGCAATGACGGAGACTGCAACTACACTGGGTAAACTGGGCGAAAATTGCAGACCAGCCATCACGGGCATGCTCTGGAAGTTCAGAGGGCAGATACAACATCTTTGTCTGCAGGACTTAGTTGGGAAACCAATCACCATTTTTACTTTCAAGCAGGGACCATGACAAGACGCTCACACCGAACAAACGAAAACCAACCCACTCGAAGGAAAACACAGACCCTCAATCAATTTGCACCCATCGAAAAAGGCCAATAGAGCGACAGAAGAAAACTCAAGAGCTTAAGAGTTATTCAAAATGCTCATCGTGTTTTGGCCCACCAAGCTGTTCGTGATCTCTATTTTGGGTAAATCTTTCCCAAAATAAGCATATATATGCATTACGAAAAGAATGGAAGAACAACTAACCTCCTCCTTTAACTTTTGGGCGACCAAAAAGGAGGAGTAGTCGGACACGTCGAACATGATGATGACAGCGTCACAATTGAGGAGAAAGTGTTGGCCCAGCTTGGTCGGCGAACCGCCGCCCACTTCGTAGACCCGCACCTTTTCGCGTACACCCTTTTCAGTCTCCACGCACAGCGAATAGGTATCCTCGTAGGTATGAGGCTAAGAGGGAAGAAAAGGTGGGGAAAACAGAAAACTGCGAACATAAACTTTAACTATGGCCTCACTCCGACTAAAACAACGTGTATTATGCGTAGTAAACGTAAGCAGTGCAGTGAATATAAGGGTTGAATTTTGAATCTATTACAGAAATCCGAAGACAGGAACCAGAATGGGGGAAGAGGTGACCACTGGTACAAGACGCTTATTGACCTCACATTTCGGATCCCCGCTGGGACCCAACATCGATACAGACAACCACAGATAAAGGTGATAAATGCACAAGGTTCGCAGCAGCCACGGGACCGTATGCGTACTCAAATTAGCAGTTATCTTGATCACCGCTGGGAGGTATGCTTGACGCAATTATGGCTTGGCACAACAACCAAAACCACAAAAACCTCTCAGAACCCTTCGCTATTCGGTCTGGCGTTCCACAAGATTGTGTACTGTCGCCCAGCCTCTTTAACTACATCATTGACTGGATTCTCGGGAAGGCCCTACAGGAAAATGACGGTATTGAGGTTGCACCCGGAGGCCGGTTGACTGACCTCAACTATGCCGACGATATTGCTTTACTAGCTTCAAACTTTGACGATTTACAGTCTATGGTGTCACGGGTGAACAAGGTCGCGAAATCGGTCGGTTTGTCCATAGGCGCAGGGGAGACCAAAGTGCTATCATGCTGCATCCCTGGCTAAAAGAAAGAACCTCTCGAGATTAGTAGCTGTAAACTTGAAGAGAGAGTAAGGATGACACTGTCTCCCGTATTGACGCAGCTTGACGAGTTTTCTCCAGCCTTCGAAACGCGATATGTCTATCTCCACAAAGGTCCGCGTGTACCATGCATTTGTACAGTCTGTTCTTCTATACGGTTGCAAGTGCTGTGCTATGCACGTGGAAGATGAACGGAAAGTGGAAATATTTGACCATTACTGCTTGAGGACCATACTTCGAGTGAAGTACACTGACTTCGTCTCAACTGAGACAGTTCGCACTCGCTGCGACAAAATCACAAGGATATCCTAGGCCATACGAGAAAGACGACTGAGGTGGTTTGGCCGCGTTCTTCGTCGTCAACCGCAGGAGCTCAGTGTTACTGCCCTCGACTTGAAACCGTTGCCTAATTGGAAACGTCGAAGAGGGGTCCAATTCAAAACCTGGCTCAATTCAGTCCGTCAGGATATGGAAGTGGTTCTGTGACCTTTGGTATTCGGTCTCCGGCGCTGGCGAAGGGAATGGCTCGAACTGTCCAGGTCTGCTGTCACATATCGTCACGTGTGGAGAAGCGCCTTACGGGATATCATTGAGGCCACCTAGATCAGTCATGACCGCAGCCGCAATAAGTACAAGTAATCGATGTAACCGAGATCTGCATGAGTATTTGTGACGCCAGGTGAGTAGACCAAATGCGGATTAACAAAAAAAGAAAGGAATCTCCAGAATGAGAGAAGAGCTCTGAGCTGCTGCTGCTGCCTCAATTGCGCCACTGAATGAGTTTTTGAGGATGCGTCAGCGGACCCGATGATATTGCGCTGCTAGCCTCAAACTTTGGTGGTCTACAGTCGGTAGTGTCGCGGTTAAATGAGATCCTTATGTCGGTTGGCATGTCCATAAATTCCGGAAAGACGAAGTCATTCTCGAGCTGCATCCCTGACCAAGAGAAGGCACCCCTGGGGATTAATGGCCATCAACTTGAAGAAG